ACAACCGTTTTACGTGGAAAAATCCTTCGCATACCGAAATTCAAATATCACCGTTATGTGTAACCACCGTGTCAATTCCTGTTCCCCGGTTGTTTTTTCTTGTCAATTCTACCTGATAAATAAATACGAGTTACGATCAGCAACTTGTTCTTGAGTAACCTTATTTATGTAGCACTCTGTCAAGCGACTCCTCCTGGGAGTATGGATTGCTGATAAAATAATCCGAAATCTCGAAAATCTCGATCATTACATGTATTAGGGTCTAGCAATTATATTCGCACTACCTAACTGCCGGTGATTAATTGTATGTATGTGAACATAAACTGTGCGTTTAACATAAGAACTAAATATTAAACCACATGGCATGAAGCAACGTTGGTACGATTCGACCCAGTCTTTACTGGTGACATAGGATAAAGTGACCTTATGGGCCGATGTGATCACTTAGTACGAAGTGACTTGGAACAAAATGATTGTGTCGCACGAAATGACTTGGGGCGGGACATGTGGTATGATGTGACTGTGTGGTGCGAATTGACTTACTAATCAGAACGAAGTGGCTTGGTACTGATGATGCTCCGAATGAGTCCCTATCAGAGTTAAACTTAGTGAATAGCTTATACTTATTGACCCTCAAATCATATATACGGTATCTTTCAAAGAAATGCATGCTTAAACCATGACCATGTGTTTAGATCCTGTGTTTATATGTAGAGACCAAGAGAATTGAAAGTGTTGATTCCAGCAAAAAAACTTCCTGTTTGTGAGATCCAAATGTCTAGAAATCTATCCAATCTGGGGATCCTCTATTAGGAACAAGAAGAGGCAACAACTAGATCGTAAATCTCTTCAAAAGGATTACGCAACTGTTATCACCTGAATAATCTTGATTTATTACATGCCATATAATTGAACACATGACATATATGATGATCTAAGTGAATTAAATCAAATCATTTAATTACTTATTGTATTACCTCCGTTGTGAAGATCGTTGGGAAGTGATGTATCTGTATGTCTGTCTGTCCGTGCACAAATTCCATTCCACTGGTATATAATGCACGCACTGACAAAACGGAACAATTAATAACAATTATACATTATTTATACCAGTTGAGTACTAATGCACCACTTTCATTTCATTATTGTAGAAACACCGTATTTATTGATACCTGCTATCAGCCTGGCTTCTTTATCTGGAGTTGAAATGTTTTTCACTGTATTTGAGGTCAGTATACCATGAATCCACTGCCTATTTAAGGCCATTCAGACCACTATCAT